GGTTTTGACTATAGCATCAGGTTTGCCATCAAATGAAGATGAACATAATCCCAAACCTGGGTGAGTTATTTTCAGTGAAATACTTGCAAACAAAAGCATGTGCCTTAGTAAATTATATTAGCACATTAAGACAAAGCATCCTGATTTAAAAAAACAGGCTCTTGAATTCTTCAAAAGAAGCCTGGACATTGTTTAAAAATGGGTACTTCTTTGTTAAAGCAGCCCCCAAGACTGAATATCCCCAATCAACCAAAATATCTCACTAAAATCTGGTCGCGGGTTCTTATACCTTACCATGTAATTGTATATTAACACCATATTGTATTTTTGCTTTTGCTAAATGTTCGTATATTATTAATTTTTGATGAGGTTTTTCAATTTGCATTGTTTACTTAAAAATATACTCATTGCTTTCCTGTATGTGGATCTGACTTTAATCTTTAATTTATCAAGTAATGAGCCATATCATTTTTTCAAGAAAGAGGCTTTTACCTGACGGAAGAAATATGCAAAAATGGCCACAACATGAAACTTTATTTTAATGACAAAACCATTTAGAGATGCAGTGTTAAAATTTTCAAAAAGAAGAAGGGCCTCTAATGTTGGAAATTGGTTTAACAGTTTTAGAATATTGTTCGTCACTGCTGTTGGATTTATGTATTCTTGGGCAGAGGAATCGACATCCATGAAATGGTATAACAAACAGCTTAATATGTGTGAAAGTTCTGCGATTGACTGGAATAATTACATGCAATAAAATAATAAATATAAGGGTACTTAATATTAAATATTATTATTAAATACTTAATTATTATTAATAATATTATTATTAAATACTTAATATTTTTAGGAAATGACATGTAAGTATTGTTATTATTATATATTTTGTTTATTTTTACATTTGCTTTTCATGAGCTTAGCGATATTACAGCCGAGATCTTGGTGCAAATGTAAAATCACCAAATATGGTTGGAGGTCACTACAAAAAAAAGTATCTGAAAATGTCAGAAACAAAACTTTTGGATTTCACAAAGGTCTTTTGGATATCTGATTAGTTATTGAATAGCAAAAAGTGTTAAATTGCACACAATTGGCGAAACTTAAGTGTTCTCAGTTATAAAAAGATGCAATTGAAGATATGTTTGGTGAAAAGAGCTTAAATGAAGTGAAAGTAATGCCGCTTTCAAATAATACAGTAACTTGTAGAATTTGTGAAATGTTCCTGTGGACAGAAAATCAGCTGCTCCAGTTACTGAAAGTAAATGTTTTTCACTACAACTGGATGAATGTACTTGTACATGAAATTTATCTCAGCTCCTTGTTTTCGTATGTTACTTGTGGAACATTGAATCCTATGAACCTGTGTTATTTTGTGAATAAATTATTCTAGGAACTAATGAAGAAATATTCAAGACTCTTGGCACTTATAAAAAATTCAAAGATTTAGATTGGATGAAATGTGTTGGTGCATGAGCTATGTGAAGTAAAAAAAAAAAAGTATTGTGGCTCAACATTCACAGGGAAGCACTAGTATCAAATTCTTTGGCTGATGACTTTTAAAATGTTTTGAACATTGCAGTTAATTGTGAATTTAATAAAATCAAGACCGTTCCAATCGTATTTATTTGAAAAGCTTTGTGAAGAGATGGGGAACAACTGCAATTGACTTCCACATATGAAAGTACATTGGTTATCAAGAGGGAAAATGCTAACAAGACTTGTGGAATTTCTTGAAAGAGTTGAAGTGTTTGGTGGCAATAAAAATGAATTAGAAAAATTGTTGTATTATCTGAAATTTGTTTTGAAGCTCATAAATTTAGCAGACATATTCCATCAAACTTAACCCTTTGATGCACGGTAGTCGCACCCTGAAACCACCAGTTTTTGAATTTTTTCCCACTCTTCTGTCAGAGTTATTTGATTGAAAACTGATTGATTACTTATCTTTAACTTGTAAATAATACAAAATGACTGCAGAACCATACATTTTTTAGGTCTCAGTACTTCAAATCGGATGTTGTTTAAATTTCCTTTTTATTGAGACAAAATAACTTCCTTTTGTAAATATAATTACTAACATAAAAAAATTGTTTAGGCATCGCTACATGAGTCATTACTCAAGTTGTCGTGTTGATGAGCATGCGGTGATGAAAGGAAAGTATAATAAATAATGATTCACCAGGTTGGCGTCAGATCAACAATGTATCTATGTGGAATGTTTCAGTTTGAGGTGTGTGCCAAGCAGATAGGCAGCAACAGAGCCAAATTACTGATCACAAATTACAAATTTTTGCTAAAATGATTGTTTCTTCAATAACAAGGTATTTTATTTAGTGTTGAAGTGAAATTAAGAATCGGGACTCTCCAGATGTTTTATTATGCGCGGAGGGGGGAATTAAATGCACATGCATAAAGCCTACTAGAAAAACGGTGGTTTTGAGGCCCGGATTTTAGATCATTCCAGATAATGGACGTCCGGATTTCGGACTTTGTACTGTATTACTAAATAATACATGCACTTGCTCAGAGAAAATGTGTTTCATTTCTGGATATTTTTTTCTGAGCTTAACACGGTTGCTTCCTGTGCAACAGTGTTGAGCTCAGAGAAAAATATAATGCAAATATATTTTTCTATAATTAAAAATAGAAATTGTGTAAAAATTTAATTAAAATATATATCTATATATAGATATATATACTGTCAAGATTCAAAATACCTCGCTTAGGGCTAGAAATAGCTGATGCATTTGCATTAGCTTTACTTGAAGAATTACCTTCAGATCTAGAATCTGTGGTCTCTGAGGGTGAAAGCGATGGAAAGGAAAATACTCTTTATCCTCTTCCTTCCTGCTTGTGGAAATATAGAAGATAAAAGTGATGATCAGTCAGAAAATGGTGATATGTGTTTACCAGGTCCTTCCAAAATTGCAGAGGTAACGTGGAATAAAATACAGGTTGTACTAAAATCAGTTTCCGAATTTTCTGATGACTATGATCCAACTGATGAAATTACCTCTATGGAAGATGTAAAGCTCGTGGATATATTTTTGTCTTTTTTTACTACTGAATTCTTAGATAATTAGTTTTTGAAACTAACTTATATGCAACTCAAAAAGGTAAGCCATTTTCGCCTATAACTCTTCAGGATATGTTGATATTTTTAGGGATATGCATTTTAATAGAAATTAAAGAAGTCCCAAGCTTTCATAATTTCTGGTCAACTAACGAAATACTGAATGAATCTTATGTGGGGAAGCAAATGGGAGTAAAGAAGTTTTCATGGAATTTAGGCAATTTGCATTTGATCAATAACAGCCTAATGCCGAAAAGAGAGGACAAAATTTTGACAAACTTTATAATGTTCGCCCTCTATTGACTCATTTGTTGGAATAATTCGATAGTATCTTTAGACCAGGGAAAAAAATCGGTTGATTGACGAATCAGTGATTCGTTTAAAGGTAGAAGCAATACTTACCTAAATTGCAATAAAACAAAGATATAAAGTGTGGATGCATTGCAGTGAAAGCGGTTATTCTTGTAAATTTGAAATTTATACTCTTAAAACCCACGAACTCGAAAAAAATCCGAGTGAATGAGTGGTAAGAATGCTAAGTGAGCCCTTGTACGGTAAAAATCATAGAGTATACATGGACAATTATTTTACATCTTATGAACTTTTCAAGTTTTTAGAAATGAAAAATGTATTTTGTCATTGAACTGTAAACATAAAAAGGGGGGAGGAACTTCCCAAAACATTAATGGAAGATAAGAAATTAAAACAGGGTGATTTCAACTGGGCAGTAAGTGACGACAAAAATAGCTTGTCTAAAATCGAAAGACAAAAGATGTGTTACCATTTTATCTAGCCTAGTTGATCCCACTTTTTTAGCTTGCACTAAGAGTTATTCACCTGTTGAAATTATTAATTTATGGTAACCAATTTTCCATTCCCTTTCATTGTGCATGAGTGGAATACAAAGTGTATCGTTCATTCTTTCAAATAATTTTAACAAAGTGCATAAACCACATCTCCCATAATTATCACTTATAACAAACATGCCAAATTTCAAAAGGTGCCAATATATAAATCCATGTATATCTTGGGAAAGTTTGGATTAAAAATTCTAATTTTTTGCATGTATGCCTAAAAATATACTTTAAGATGATGGCAAAAATGTTTCCTAAAAATTACTAAAAAGTATAAATTTTAAAAACAAATCTGAAAATAGCTGCAAATTTTGTTTGAATTAAAGCTAAATTTCAAATTATGAAAGAAGGAATCAAATAAGTTTAATAAAAAAAGAACTATTAATAAATATATACCAAATTCAATTAACATTGAGGAGCTAAAATTTTAAGAGTTAATTATTACTATTTTTACAGAACTTGGCACTTTGGCATAATGAGGTCGTAGAATTGAAATATAGAAAAAATTGGTAGTATATCAGTTCAGAAGTCCGATTTTGTTTCTAAATACCTAAGTTAGAACAATATTCAATTTTCAAATCCTACTGCAGCTTAATAAGTTTGAATGGATTTCCTTTAAGTCTGCTTTGTTTCCTTAAAGTCTGCTGCTTAAGTATGCTTGAGCACTCTTCTCAAAGTAATTTTGTAGTTTTTGCTATAATGAAACAATCGGTAAAATATCGGCTAACGTTGCTTTGAAATAAAAAAGAATCTAGTTCAGTGTTATTGTATTTTTTTTTTTTTTTACTTTTAAATTGTTGACGTGATGACTTTCATAATTGCACATAGTATTCTGAGTGATTCCTTTTCTTTTATTACATCTCTATCAGTAGTATTCTGAGTGATTGCTTTTCTTTTATTACATCTCCTCTATCAGTCTAATAGGTATATATGTTTCAAGTACATGAAGAAAGCCAAAGGGGATTTATTACTTTTAGAGCAAAAAATGATTTGGTTATGCTTTTTTGCTGTACACAGTATCAATGTTTTCAAGGTCCCAAATCTCTTTAGCAGCATATTTGTTTAAATTTTAGGTCTGAACAACGTCTTAGTAGTTCTGAGCAGTTTTATGAGGATGATGAAGACGAGGAAGAAATTTTGGGTTCTGATGATGATGAACAAGAAGATCCTCGAGATTATTGTAAAGGTGAGTTTATCTTCATTCTCTATTCCTTTTGATGATGTTAATAAATTTTATAGTTTTATGTACAATTTATTTTTAAATAACTGGCTTTTCAGTTCAGAAGTGTTTTTAGAAATTGTTAAAAGCTATATCAGCCTGTGGTTATATTACATTAATCTCTTCATATTTGATAAAAGTTTAACTTCCTGCTTTTCAACATGTTCTTTTATTATTAAACTGCTGTGCTTTCTGATTGTCTAGACCCCCTGCCTAAAGTGGCAAAAAAGTATTCACGAGGCAAAGCATTATGGTGTCGAAATAGTTATGTGGTTATGTGTCGCCAAAAAAGTCTTTATGTGACAAACCAGACTTGTTTGTAGCAAATGTCTGTTTTGGCCACTGTGCAGAGCAGAGTTTGAGTAATCCTCTGATGCTTCCTAAGTGAAAACAGCTCCTTGTCTACAAGGGAAGAACAACAGTGCAAAAAAAGGATATCTTGAAAACTGCTTTTGATTTTTGTTGTTGAGAATTGAGGTGGCATTCTGTGAATGAAACGGGACTTTTCCTTAGGTGATATTTATCATGATCTATAAGGTAATATTTGTAATAATGAAAAAGTGCTAATATCAGGTGTGTCTCTGTCCTACTCTGTAAGTTAGTTGGATTCTTAGAAAGTGGTCAGTCATTTTATAGTTTTATATTGAATGTCTGATTAAGCAAGTTAGAAAATAATAAAAAGGGATATGTTACTTATGAATAATGCTAAACTCAAGTGTCTAACCTTCCAAGCAGCCAAACCATATATATGTGCTCAAAGTTTTTAATTATAATAATTTTAAGTACACAGGCATGCATCTTGAATTGTGTGGAGACTGTTAATATAATACATATATTAAAAAAAAAGGAGTAAATTCTAGAATTATAATAAAAAAAATACTTATACTCATAGCTTTGGGGGGATTGACTTCAGGGTTTCAGAGCCAAACTCTTGTCCATTTAGAGAGATAAAGAGCTTGCCTCTATTAAACACTAAACTGTTCTCTGTCTTTATTTTGGGGGAGTGGAGGTATGCTGTGTAATTTCTGAAAATTTTAAGACAGATTGAAATGAATTGTACATATGCAGTGAAAATCCAGAAAAATTCTTTTGATTTTGAGCATCTGCACAAAGCATTTGCAGTAGTTAAAATTGTTTGATGCAGGTTACATTCATAGAACCACTGTGACATCAACACAAGCATATAACCAACACGCATACGATCAATAGTCACTCCATAGGATCGACTCAGCGTAGCATCGTTTAGCATAAAAGCAATGCACCAACATTGCATAATATATCTAAGGATTATAATTAACAACAGCACATAATCAGAGCGAAAGAATTTAATTAAATTATTATTAAGGTACACGGATAAATTCAGCACCAGTATGGAAGCAGCAAATCACATGAACTGCTTTTAAGCTGCCTTGTTGATCTTGTGCCAGCAGAAAGGCTGTTGGTTCTATGCAGTGTCAGTCCTGTTGGAACATTTCCTGTGATCTAGATAGAAATCTAAATCTGCCAAAAACATCATGCAACTACTAGATGTGAAATAAATAATAATAATAATAATAATAATAAATTAAGATATTCCGCAGCAGGTTGGGAAGTATATTTTATGTGCATTTGAATAAAATGCAGTGTAATTTTTCATTATTAAGAATTAAATTGAAAATGTGATAGAAGTAACAGGTGCCAGAAATAGTTGAACATGAATTTAAATCCGTTTCAGAATTGATTAGTGTAACAGTGAGTGCAAGAGAGAATAATTCATGAGAATAATTCTATTCATGACCCTAGGTTAATGGCAGAGCTAGTGTTCTACTCTGGTTGCCTGAGCAAGAGGTCGTACCCCAAAAAGAACACAATGAGACTGTCAAATTATTATCATTGAATAACTTATATAGTATGTAAGCAATATACTGACTTTAAAAAGTGAAGCTTTGATAACATCAAATTGCACATGAAAATAGCATATGTGTTTATCAAAAAAAAAAAAAAAAAAAAGTGTTGTGTACAAACAACTAAAGCTAAAAACATTATTAAATTTTCATAAATTTTATGGTATCACATTTCATTCATTAACAAATTTTTAATTCCAAAAGCAAACCAACAAAACTTCCATTAATAACGTACATGACTGCCCAAACCTTCACACGAACTTTACATCAGTTGCCTATGCTTTCAATGAAGTATCAATCATCCCAGATGGCAGTGGTCATTTTTCCATTAGAGAAATTTCCAGTTGGACTGGCTGGAGGAAGTAAACAAGCGGAAATAACATGCTAGAGTCATCCCAAATATAATTAGTGGAATTAAAAACATGGAAATATGGTGGCCACTCCACATGAGAAATGTCGTCACTTTCCAGATACTTGATGTTGTTGGCTCGATGGAGACAATATTATTATCCATGAGGAGGAAATCAGGACCAACTTCAGAAGTGAATGTTGCAGTGGTGTGTAGGGCTTCATGCTGATGCCACACAGCTGTCACATAATCATATTTAAAGATAGGCAACTGATTGGGATATTCCGTTGAAATTCCATCCCTCACCAGGATCCTGCCATCTCTAAATGTCTGATGTTTTGGGGTCTGATTGTGTATGCCTCATTCTCTTCAGACCCATAAACACATATCACCTGATTCCAGAGCAGATCTGGAATCATCAACAAGGGCCGATGCCAGAGCATGTGCAACAGGTGCAGCCTCACTGGGTGGCAGAATGTAGGGCCTTAGTTTAGTAGTATAAATGAATAACATTGCTTACTGTGTGCAGAATTTTTTAATTAATCTGTCAACTAGTGTTTGTGATTGAGAAACAAACATACAGACAATTTCTTATTTTTATATTTTGTTAGAATTAAGTATATTATGTTAAAGTTTTTTATATGTTCTTTAATTGCAGGTGGTTATCATCCTGTAAAAATTGGAGATTTATTCCATAGTCGCTATCACGTTATACGCAAACTTGGCTGGGGTCATTTTTCTACCGTTTGGCTATGCTGGGACTTAGTGTAAGCTTTAAAATGTGTTATATAGTTTGATTTTTATATGTGTTGCATACTAGAGAAATTGAAATGAATGTTTCAGGTAGATCTTAAAAAATAAGGAAGCTGTAAATGAAAATATTAGCATCAGTTATTTTATTAATTAATTTATTAATTTTTGTAAAGTGTAGTATATGTACTTGCAAATTAATCCCCTTGCATATTTTTCCTTTCACGTTTTGATCATCAGATTAAGAAACTTTTTATCTATGGTAACACTGTAAAATGTATGTAGAGCTAAAAAGTAAATTGTTTAAGTAAACAGAATATTATTGAAATTAATAACTTCTTTGAAATACAGACAATTATTATGTTCATAAATCTACTATGCATGCTTTTTAAAGAGCTTTGATTTTCATTTAAGCCTTTCCCTCTCAAATGGTAAGCATTGTCTTGATTTTAAAGTAGTAAAATTAGTAACAAGAGGGATATATATGAATAAATTTAGTAATCTCTCAAAGCAGGTGTATAAGAAACTTGAAACAATTAGTCATCTAAGGAAGACTTATGTTTGATTTTTTGAAATATTTTCCTTCTTTCTTTTTGAAATATTTTTAAAAAATTAGTATAATATTGTAGCTAAGATGTAGTTTATTTCTTGACATATATTGATTGCAACAGTTGAAGAAATCAGTATGTTAATTATAAAGATAGATATGAATAACTTATTAGCAGGAAACCATAGTATATTTTTTATGCACAATGGATCTAAAGATGTTGATACTTGTGTGTTATCACAACCACCATGGTAGAAGTTGCCAGATTTTCAGAATGTGCCAAATTCTGACAGCCATGCTTATAACAATCCTTCTGTCAAGAAATATTGCGATTTTTGCGTATGTTCTTCTTGTATTCCAAAAGCTTTTATAAACAAATTGTGATATTTTATGCCTTAAACTTAATTTAAAAACATATGTTTGTGGAATTTGCCAGTGGTGGAAGAAACTGCATTAAAATTTCTTCAGGTGATGAGGAGATTCATTTGGTAGCTAGCCTATGCCTGATCCGTGACCATGAGCTCAAACACGCTTGTGCCAAATTATTCTCAAAATAGGGTTATCATTGGCACCAAATTATTCTCAAAATAAGGTGGAAGGATGGAGACTTTCTTTCCCTCCAATATATAAATTCTCTCTTTTCAGAAAAGGTAAGGCGTTCACATGACCTTTCACATCGTAGCAAGCAAAAATGCCTCTTTTGGAAGAGTTTATGTGTTTTGGCAGAGTGCCAGCCAGGGTAGCATTTGAGATGATTGAACTATACTGGAGTTTACGTAATGCCATATGTGTGCTGTTCCCTGATGTTTTGCTAAGTGTAAACAGATTGCTTTACTTGGGAAAAAGAATAAAACTAAAAATTACTGAAAGATTTTGGGGAAAATATGTTTTTTTTTAATCTATTATGTAATACGTATATAATAATTTAAATGTATATTTTAAATTACTACAGTATGTGTCCTTTTCACATGATGGTAAAATTTGCCCCTTGCAATAAATGTTGATAGTATAGGAATCTTTTTTTTAAAAAAAAATCGCAAAAATCACCAATTTGCATCTGATAAGTAGCTTTTACCTTTTCATCTGCAAAAAAATCGCCAGATTGCGCCAAGATGGTTACATTACTATGTAAGTGACAAGATTTTTTTGCCCCATGCTCTCCTTTGACCATTTTAAAAAATCATTCCCCCTGTTCCAAAACTTGAAAAACTTATTATTTTTTAATTTCCATCTGTTTGACCCGAATAAGCTTAATAATTCAAAAATTAAGAAGTAATTGTTTGGTACTCTGGATTATATTGCATGGGTGTATGTAGGTATGTGTGTGTACAGACACATACATACATACATTCATCCATGAATGCATACATCCATACATATATTTCTGAAAACAGACCTGATTAAAAAAGAAAAACAAGAGTACCATTTATTTTAATAGAATTCATGGAGATTATGCTATGTATGTTAACAAAATTTTATTCTATTTATAGGGGGAAAAGATTTGTAGCCCTGAAGGTTGTAAAAAGTGAAGTGCATTATGCTGAAACTGCTCTTGATGAAATTAAGTTATTACGTTGCGTAAGTTAGAATTGTTATTCTAGAAACGATATTTTACTATGCCGTATCTGTATAAATATATGTAACAGTAATAAAAAATTACTTTTTAGGTAAGAGAAAGTGATCCTGCTAATCGCTACAGAGAAAAAGTTGTGCAGTTATTGGACGATTTTAAAATTTCTGGTGTAAATGGGACTCGTATCCTTTATGTGAAACAAGTTTAATTCTAAGAGTATTTTGATTCAGATTGAGAATCAGCAAAATAGTTTTAATATAATAAAATCATAATGTTAAAAATTATAATACCCATAATTTATTATTATAGTGTAACATTTTAGTTCACTTTATATTTAGTAAATATTATAAATAAAATAGTTACGGAAAAAGGATATTATAACACTGGGGCAAAACTTGCTTTAATATTCTATGATTATTTGGTAGTAGCTGTTGTAATTAGGTGGTTCCTATAATAAGTGGCCATTGAGCACGGAATGTATTTCTTACTAAAATTCCAGATAATTTCCTTTTTTCAAGAATTTAGAAATTGTATATAGGTGTGCATATTTGGAAAATATGGCCACTGTTTGTTTCTTCATTTTCCTGTATATTCAGTGCCGGACATTTCCAAGCAAGCTAGCTTATTCAATTGTGTAAAAGTACTTGAATTCTTTCGTCTTTCTCAAGCAAACAGCTCATGAGTAACCAAAACTTTCACAAAACTCTTAAAATTTTGAATACAGAAAAGAAACAAAACCTTCTAGAATAGGGGGAGGGGAATGTCATATTTTTGAAGTATTTTATTTTTATTCCTAGAATTTACAAGATTATTTCTACATTTATATGAACTGTACATGAATAAATAATTTAAAAATATGTGAATTTGTAAAATAAACAAAAAGTTATTTTTAGTTTTTCTTTCTGCATCACTGAAGAGTAAAGAAGTTTATTAATTTTTTAATATCTTTGTCATGGACTAGAAGAGAAACACGCTAATGTGACAATCAAAATCGTAAAAAACTAGATGCTGATAAGGACCACGTGTTTCTGTGACTCCTCCTCCTATTTTCTTCTTTCTATGTATTTCTTTCTCCTGATGAGGAGGGACCTTTAGCTGCCCTCGAAATCGATTGAGTGTTTCATTATACCTTCGCTAAATACAAAGTTGTTTTTTACGATTTTGATCTTTGTCATGTTTAAGTGCACATGGCATTAAAAGGCTATGATGATAATATAATGAAATGGGATTATTCTTGGCATCCTGTCTGAAAGTGGATGCCACAGCAAGTTTAAAAATTACCAGTTTAAAAACAAATTCATGTTCTTTCACTTAAAATGAATCAACTGAGGGATGTCATTTGATGTAAAATGACAGTTGCTCCACGCTGTGAATGTTTTGTAATACTAATTAATGGAGAATAACTTGCCATTATTTTTCACAATTTATGAGCTGTAAATGAGATGGGAATACAAACTCTAAAGTTCTGAATTCAAAATGCATAAAATGTATTTATAGTTTTATTTAAATTTTTCTCTCCTTAACATGAATTAGATGTTTGTATGGTGTTTGAAGTTTTAGGTCACAATTTACTGAAATTAATCATTCGATCGAATTATCAAGGTATACCATTAGCGAATGTAAAGCGTATCATTCAGCAGGTTAGTGAAATTTTATTGTTATAAAAAAAATTGTTTCCATTCTTAGTTGCTTAAATTTGCTATCTTCAGAATAAAATTATAAAGTCTTATGAGGTAATTAAAAAAAAAAAAAAAAAAAAAAAAGAGGATGTTTTAGGGAAATAGTAGAAATATTTAAAAAATAGATATCCTTTAAAGACCATAAGAATCCCAACTATGAAAGTATATTTCTTACTTATCTGTTATTAATTCAGCGGGAGTGTTGTATAATTGAAATTGTCTTCACATTAATGTACTCTTTCAAAAAAAGAAATTGTCTATATTTTTTAATAAAAATTAAAAGGTATGCCCTATGTTTAAGTTAAAAACTTAAACATATGTTAACTTGTACTTGTTTTGTGTTAACTTGTACTTCAGTCTGAGTAGAAAGCAATTTGTATTTTATATATATTTTCTGAAAATTGGCAGTTAAATTTTTGCTTACTTTTATGAGAAGCATTCTTGAAAGTATATTTTGTTTTATGAGAAGCTTAAGTAATTGGCTCAACATGTTGTTAATGTAGTCCCCCCCCCCAGTAAGAAAGTAGAAAATACTGGGTTTGATAAAAAGGTTCTGTTTTATGTAAACTTGTACTTCAGTCTGAAAGTAGATGGTATTATATGCTGTTGCTATTGTTTTTCTGTTATCATGGAGCAGTAAAATGTTGTATTTTGGTTGTTTACTATAGAGACTATGTTAAATAACAAATCTGTTGTGAATATTCTTTGAAGGTTTGTTAAACAATGTGACTGATTTCATAGCTGCAGTAGAATCTTCTTGTGAGTGAATAACTTTTAATCTACAGAATCTGTGTTAAGATAAACATTGATTAGAAGATAAAGGAGTTCTTATAGCTGGAGAATATCAAAGATGTGACATTTGCAGTTGAAGGAATTCCTGCAGTAGCTAGTGACACATTATATGAACCTGTTGCCCATTCTTCTGAGAGATCACAGAAGTGCATTTTGTATCATTACTTAGAATGCCCTTTCCACACAAAGTAGGATGATAATATTATTCTCCTTTTAATTAATTTAAGATCAGATAAGCAATATTAGTCCCAGCAACAATGACAGTTAATTTAAATTGTCTTGTTGTGTGAACAAACAAAATAGTAGTCTGCGATTAATTTTACCAATTGCAGGAGCGAGGTCTTCTTTGTAAATGAATGATAAGTTTTTATAAATTCAACAGCATTGACCTGCAATTTTTGGAAGAAGATAATCAATTTGTTGTTATAAATACAAATCACTAAATTTGAATGCCCTTAAGTTCGTCAGGGATTGAATTTATGAAACTGATTTAAAAGTAAATTTCAAGTGCTATGTAATTATTATACTTCATTTTATAATGTGTTTACATGTGAGTATTTCTGTCTCATTAAACTGTACTGATCCAAAACATTGTGACTGTTTATAGACTGTGAGAATGCACTCGCTGGAATGATGTAGGTGGTATCTGACAAGGTGAGGTTGCTGTTTCACAGCTGCCTGGGACACTGAGGTATCATTTTATTGACTATGCTTATATTTAGTAGGGAAAGCTACTGAGGTTAGCAACTTTGATGAAGTAAGGATTGTGGTGGCTTGAAAACTTTGATTGATTACTTCTAAAATAGCGTTTTCTGGTGTGGTTTCATGAATTGGCATCATTAGTACCAATGAAAAGAGGAACGGCAATAGTGAAATTGGTAATAGATGCTGAAGTGTTTTACATCCCACTTAATCAATGAATGCAGACATTGGAGACTGTTCTTTTTGGTGGAGATAAATAAGCATTTGCTGATGGCTGAGCTGACAGCTGAATGCAGTGTGCTTTCAAATGAATGTTGTAGAGACCTTATTTTATTCTAAACAATAATTTTTAATTTCAGAAACTTTCCCTTCCCTTCAGATTTCAGTTTTATGCCAGAATGTAAATTTTAATGATGCAGTATGCAAATCTAAGTGAGTTCAGAATCAGTATTTAAGCAGCGGTTTTAAGAGTTGCAATAGGAGAGTTACTTCCGAATTTATGCAGCATTGTTTGAAGTAGCTTTGTACGTGAATAGTTGGTGCTTAGCCACTGTCTTTCGATTATATTAATATTCTATGTTCGGCTTTACTGTGTGCAGCTGATTTAGCAGTTTAGATAAATAAGAAACCAGTCAGGTAGCCAATCTTACTTTATTGCGATTGTACATCTTATTTTGCAGTTAAGTTACTTGCACACATATGATGGTAGATTGTGAGCACTGAGCAAATGCATTTTCTGTTAAGTTCAAATAAAATAGTTCAAATAAAAAGTTTATTTAAACCTCCTTCTGCAGTCATCTATTTCATCCAAGACCTAGCGAGAATTTTCCGCATTGTCTTTTCATCTAGGGTATACTAGGTAGTGTATGATTCCAAAACATACTAGAAAACTGCAATATTATGTGGTTTATTTAACTCTGTAGTGTATGGGACTTCACAGCAGATTCCCCTCTCATGTATACCTGCTAACCCATTATCATCAAAGTTTGAGACTATGATGCTCCCTTGAACATTATAATTAAGCAACTCAGCAGAAAAGAGTTGTTTGATTAGAAGAATAATTTCTTAATATCAGGTCAATGACCATGTCCTGGGATGTCATCTTCCAGGCAAAAATGTTTAAACAATATAGTATTTGTCTTTCCTACTAAAAGTGGGTTCTTTCATCCGGATGACATTTCTCGTCCTAAGCCAGAATACTGTTGTAGTGGTTTTGAGAAACATTTTGATGAATTGATGTCATATTCATTAAAACTGAGCATATATGAAATATCAACCACCTCCTCTTAAACCCTCAGGGCTAATTATGCTGGGCTGGGGTTATGGCTGATCAGTCTATATATGCATGTATAAAATAAATCCTTTTGATGCATTGATATGTTTTGATGAAAAATTATATGATATATTCTGGCGTATAATGTGCACCTAGGATTTCAGACTGTAATTTTTAATTTTTAGGTATATTTGTCATCTAACGCGCACCCTTTTCTTCACAAAGAAATATGAAAGATACATGTGCGAAGCTCATATTCTTTGAAGTCATTTATTCAAAGATTTTTCCCAGGTTTTTAAACAATGGTATACAGAATTGACAAGCACCAATGGGAACTATATATGTGTAATTCATGTAAAAGGCACAAATACGGTTAACATAAAACAACAGGTCACGAAAAATCTCACCGTAGTGCTTTAGCAGATGGTAAAAAAATTAAAACCCATGGTTATTTTTAAAAGAAAATGGTGCCAAAATGTAATTTTTAAATGCTGTGTTCATTCATGTTCACAAGAAATAATGGATGGGAGAAAAAACGGTGTGAAATTGTGGGTGAGAAATGCTTGGCAAAAGCATCCTGTTGCCTTAATGGGGGCATGTTCTATGTAGTGGATAATATGAAGGGATTATTGAAAGTGTGTAATACAAATATGCCAGTTACAGTTATACCAGGCAGATTAATGCCATTAGTTCAGCCTTTAGATGTGTTTATCAATAAAAACATTCAAAGAAAATTTATTACAACAGTGAAATACATGGATATAAGAAGGTGAAAAACATTTATAAAAAGAGGCAAATCTTTATGCCAATCTGGAAAGTGTGAGTGAATAATAAAAGCATGGGATGAAATTGAAACCAAAGTAATTCAAAAGTCATTAAAAAATTGTAGTATCTCTAATAATCTAGTTGGAATAGAAGATGATTATTTATTTATGGATCAGAATATTGTTGATGGTGAAGATGAAACAGGGTTCAATAATGGGCTTGAAGATATGACAAACTTATTATATTATCCAATACTGAATTTTTTTTAAAGCTTATAAGGTATTCCTCCCGCCCTCTTGGTCTCGTGGTCAGAACACTTGGCGCGTATTCGAGAGGTCCGTGGTTCGAGTCCCTTTGAGGGCATTAATCATTTTTCATCTCTCCTGTTTCAAAAAATACCTAATGTCTCTACAAGCTGATAAGTTGTATCATTTCTTTTAAATAAATAGTACTTGGGTACATGTAGAAATCTAATTTTTGTATGTTTATCCTTTCCTTATTTTAAAATCAATCATTTTTATATCTGGCATATAAGGTGCATCCATAAATTTCAATCCCCCCTTTTTTTTTATTAAAAGTGCCCATTATATGCCGGAATGTACGGTATTTACTTTCTAACGTAGATTTATTCACTTACTAAGAAATTCTAGTAGTCTTCTGTAACTCTTTAATCTTTGTATAGCAACCATAAAAACTGACATAAATATACTGCAAAATAAAATTTGTTAAAATATATGCTCGAACTGTTGATCGTCCAAGAACTTATGGATGTGAACCTATAAGTATGAAAAAACGTTTGCTAATGTGACTTTGGCTTTGTAGAAGGCATACAGATTTTCATAAGGAAGTGTGTAAAAAATAAAATGTGGGTATCCTGGTGATAAAAATCACCTTAAAAGAATTTAATTTTATTTGTATTGTTTACATATATTTAGATTTTTACCTTTATAAAATATATTGCAAGTTAAGTAATATAAATATGTGCATATAAATAATTGCTAAATGTCACATTTACCAAAATATATTTCATTAAATTATAGGTGTAATAACTAAAAATTCATAATAAATGCTAATGTATCATGCTGAGATTCCTAATGTATCTTGTCTTCTGTTTTATTTTAGGTAATAGAAGGACTCGATTACTTGCATCGGCAGTGTAAAATCATTCATACTGATATTAAACCAGAAAATATCCTCATTGCAGTTGATGAAAGTTATGTTAGAAAGTTAGCATATGAAGCCACTCAGTGGCAAAAAATGGGAATTCGTTTACCTGGTTCCTTAGGTATGATTTAATTCTCATTTTTAGAGGACTGTCTTTTTTGTAAAAGTGCTTGATATTTTTCAAGATATTAGAATTAGTGTTAAGTGTATGTTTTCCCTTATTGAATTATTACATTTGCAGTTATGTGCTCCAAAATTAAAATGTGAAAGGCATTTTGAGAAAAAATTTTATATCTTTAAGCAAAATATAGAAATTTTGCATATATACAGACATGTAGTCATAAATGTGGCACATACTATCAGTAATAAAAGATAATATATATGCAAAAAAAGAAAAAAAAATTATCTACAATACGAAGTCGAAAATCCAGAATCATCAGAATTTAACTGATTCTGGAAATCCTAAATTTACGGACTCTATATCATCAATTTAAATCTAGTAAAATTATATGTAGAAAATTATAAAATTCGAAATATGATAGGTTGTTTGTGAAATAATGAAGCATTTAAGATCTTAAAGGTCCACCCAGGTGCTATTGTAGTTAGGGGAGTAAACCGCTGAGTTCGTTTCCGACCCAGGTATAGATATGTCCATGCAGAATTGGTTACCAACTCAGCAGCAGTCAACCACTAGCTGCCAGGCCGCAGCCCTAGGTAGCCTTGGCTGAGCGGACGACATTTATAAAATGCAAAAAAGAAATATATATATATGCATACAAGGCACTTGAAGAAGAGTACAATCAAAATATGTGTATACATATAAATACCAACTCAGATACAGATATATACATTTACATACATATATATTCCGAAACAGATAAAATTATACATACTGTCACTCAAGTTCATATATACATCTTTACATATACGTTATTATGATAGTTAAAGTTTATATGAAGCATGTGCCATTGAGGTACGCGTGATCCTTAGTATAAATTAGGTACCATAAATGCAAGATATAAACATGCACAGATACATTACAACATTCAGATACAGTATGAACTTTGTGTATGAAAACCTGGCACAGCATAAATACAAAATTACATATTGAACATACATATCACATACTCTGTTGCTGACATATTGAACTAGCTTATATAGACTTTTATGGCTACCATCTTCCAGTGTCAGAAGAGTAATTGATAGTACAGTAGTCAATTATTGTTTTCAGTTTCCGTTGGGCAACTCTGTTACTTTCTAGATTCTGGAACCAATTTGGCCAGAATCTGGCTTTTGGTTGCTTGAGGCTGGTGAGGAAACACATCATGTAATTGCTATTAGTTTGGATTTTTTTCTTTATCTTGGGAATGAGATTGTAAACGTGTCTTTCCATGGAGGTTTGATCCCAACATTCTTGCCATATTCTTATGAGCGGATGGAATGTCCAACTCTTTAAGTCCGAGACTGGCCTAAGAGTCGGGACTTCTCGCAAAATGGATGAATCCGCTGCTTCCTTTGCGACAACATCTGCTCTCTCATTTCCTTCTATTCCCGTATGAGCAGGTACCCAGATGAGTGAGGGTCTTTGCGAAGCAGGCATGTGGGTTAGAAGGTCTCTAATGCTGCTGACGATAGGGCTGCGAGAACGAATTCCAGCTATTGCAGCGCAGCTTGAGGCTGATTCTGTGTAGATGATATTGGGCACTGTGGGATTATTCTTCAGGTGGAGAAGAGCTGCTCTGATTGCCATGAGCTCCTCCTGAAAGCCAGAGTTTTCAGAAGCGAGCTTTCTTTTCCACTCATACATTAAAGCTCCTCCAGAAAGTATACAGACTCCGCTTCCCCGTGCCCCCTGGAGTTTTAGAGCCATCAGTGAAAACACCATTTGCAAATCCCGCGTCCTGTGTTCTATTAAAATAGGTAGTGTCTACAAGGTTATTTTTAGCAGGGTGGCAGGGAGCTTGCGATATGTGATGCTCATAATCAGTATGGATATAGATTTGTCTCCAGAGACTTATGGTGTGTCCTAGCCTACTTACATTAACCACTGCAGCCTCTTGTTCTACTAATAAGTCCAGATGCGGTGTGCCTGTGATAATTTGTAAGGCTGCCATGGACGTGGTACGATAAGCCTTGCAAATGAGAAGAAGCTGGTGTCGCTGTATAGAGAGTAGTGAACGTCTCATTTGGGAAGAGATGTTAGTTCATCAAATAGCAGCATCATACAGAATAATTCTTTCTACCATTATGTTGTACCATATTCTAAGCAAGTGACATGGGATACCCCGTCTTAACGAGGTTGTTGATCGCATGGAAGTAGTCAGTCTGTTGATTCTTAACTTTAAAGAAGCGATAGCATAAAGTCCTTTTTGATTAAGCCTTTTGTATGTAGTTTTCCTTGATACAACTGTTCCATTGGCAGCTGCAAGTTCTGAAATTAACTGCTGAGTTGAGTAATAGACTTCCTGTTATGACAGGCAGTTATTGCCAGATATCAGTCATGAGAAACAGTTCTTATTCATTTATGAGCTTGTCCTTACAACAATTCCTGGGACTTTCTAATATTTTTTCCATAGTGTAGACCAGGGTTTCTTAAACTTTTTTCAATCACAACATGTCTTTATCACTGTGATTTTTTCGTGACCCCTTCAGGATGCCATAATATTTACAAAAATTTTGTGGGTCCGCATAAGTATTGTGCAAATCTGACACACACATGAGTGAAACTTAATTTTTTCTCTTGTACTGTAATATACTATTGCAGTTTTAGGTCATTAATTTCTGATTTTAAGACTAGAACAATGTGCAAATTTTAAATAAGTAACAGACAAAATGACAGCATCACGTGCAAAGCAAGGAAAATGAACGTTTATATTATAAAAAGAATGCATTGAAATGTTTTGGTTTTTTTTTCTTTGTTTGCATTTTCTTATCTTTACCTATTTGCAAATACATTGTGTAAAAATATTTGGTAATTTTAAAATTATTATAATAAGTAAAAGAAATATCAAAACTGCTAAAATTTTTGCCGACCCCCTTGCTGCAGATCCCACAACCCCAAGGGGGTCGCAACCCGCAGTTTAAGAAACCCTGGTGTAGACTGTCTGTTTTAAAACATTCACACATCTCACTGCTTCCATGATTGTATGCCCTGCTTCTAAGAGGCCACAGATTTGCTGCTTCACAGATTCTAGCTGTAAGAAACACTGTATTAAAAGTTGTTTTGCAGAAATTCTTTCAGATGCAGGAGTATTTATGATCTGGATATAGCTAGAATTTCGAATTCTTTACTTTCTCAAATAGTGAATTTCTGGATTTATGGAATTTAGACTTGGTCATCAATAAATATGTAAAATCCAAATCTTTTTAAAATTTTGTTTTAGAACAAACATATTATTCAAAGATAATATAAATTTAAATCTATTAGAATGTGTGTTCAGCAAAAAGTCAAACTTTTTATGTGAGCAAAGTAAGATTCTCTTATACAAAAAAAGGTATTTCACCTGATTGTTTTATACAAAAACTGAAACTTATACTGTAAAGTTTTAGATTAGAGTTTTCAGACTCAAAGAAAATGGCAAACAAAAATACCCATTTTGTCAAAACTTATTAAAACAAGGTTGTTGTGTTACTGATTTTTTTATTTACTAATTTTATGATTAAATCTGTTTTAACTTCCTTCTATGGACCCTTTATTGAATGTTCATTTAAGTATATGGGTGATATGTCAGAATGAAGAATTTCTTTGAACAGCAATGGTGGGCCGTGGTATCCATCATAGGGGATTAGGTATAAGAAAAAGACAGTTTTTGAATGGGTAAGGTAACAAGAATAATAATGCACAATGTGCTAGAGCAGTATTTCACAAATGTAGGCCTTGGAGTCTATAAATTGGAATTGAAGGTTTCCATGAAAAATAAAAAATTTAAAAGTTATAAATGTGTTGTATAAAAATTGTCACGTTTATGCTCACGAATTCACGATTCTATTTTTCACGAGTTGGGAGAGCATCAAATTAATCAAGAATATACTAGTATAATCAAGAGTCAATATACCATTTTCACGTAAAGACTCAACTTGAAAATAAGAACTTCTAGTTGAAACACAGAAATATTTAATGAAGCGCTTATGTACATTATTTACATTATTCAAAGCACAAAATTTACATATAATATAAATTTCCCCATCATAGGGCCAATATTCGTTTATCAAGAACAATTACCGCTATGCGGCCAAGATCAGATCATTTAAAGGCGTCGCCCTCAAGCTTAACTAAAAAAGTATTACATTCCTTCTCTGCCGCCAGTCACGTGACCTAGTCGGCGACAGACGATAAAAAATAAAAGAAAAACTGAATCCATCGGAGGGAAAAGAAATAATTTCAACTCAAACCCCCCCCGATGAACAATAGGTTCATCATAAATTTAACTATTACAATATTACTATAAACAATAAGAAAACAAATAAAAATTACTTACATATACAGGTCACATTATATCAATAATTTCTTAACATCAAGAAAATTTTTTCTGAAACTATAGAAAAAAAACAAAACATTTAAATTAACATTTCTCAAGATCACCACAAATCATTAAACCAAGGAAAATAATAATGAATAAATGAAAACATTATGAAAAAGAACATTTTTTTTTTCATCAGTTTATCAGTCATTCAGTCCAATTTTTTTTAACCAGTCACTGATTATTGCAATTACTGATATCATCAATTTCTAAATTGTACAATAGCTGCACTGGACGTTTGATTACCGAATTACCAGTTTTCACTTCACACGATCTGATCATTCCATCTCTACCAATAAAGGTTTTGGTTATTCTTCCTAATTTCCACAAACTTCTAGGTAAATTTTCATCATGAAAAAGTACTATATCATTCACGTTGAATGTAGATGGTTTCTTCTGACCGGTATAATGAGCAGATCTCAAGCACAGGAGATATTCTTTTTTCCATCTGTTCCAAAAGTGATTTATTAGATTTTCTCGTGTACGGAAACGTTTTAACATTACTTCTCTGGAACCTGGTAAATTCAAGTCATTCCTCCTTACAGCTGGCAAACTCAAGAGTCGTTTACCAATCAACAGGTGGGCTGGAGTAAGTGCGGAG